ACTGAAGCATACACACGGAAAGCGCGTCTCGCAGCGCGCGAGTACTCTTTTGCATTGCATGAATGGAGAATTACACACAAAATGATGTCGAATGGTCATTTTTTTAACGAGTATTCACGTAAACACAGTTGATTACGTCTTAAGTGAACGTAAACAGTAGGGAGAACATGTATCAGGACATTGCATCCGTGCATCCGGTTTTAAAGGTACAGCAGCCTAATTTAGTTGCTATTGTCCGAGTCATTGATGTTAATCAAGAAACAAAAGAAAGACAGAAAATCACGCACTGCTCTTGACTGAAAAACTTTAGTAGCCCTAAAGATGAATCTACATTTATTTATAGAAATAAATGTCTGCTTGAAAGAATTAAGAATATGGTAAACAAGCTGCTATAAAGAATGCATAATAGCCTGTATAACCATTGGTATTTTATTAAAACGAAGACCATGTTCTTGTTCCGTATGAGAAGTGGTTTTATTTAATTTTAACATGAAGGCATATTGTGTGTCACAGCAGTTAAATCAGTGTCTATCATGATAAAACCTTAATATCAAAAATATATAATGAGTTTGGAAATTTTTGAGAAATGCTTAATAAATGCACTGTAACTAAACCCATTAGATTTTAGCCGACTAAATTTACTGTAGATTTAGTCGACTAAAATCTTATGACATTTAGTCGACTAAAACTAGACTAAAATTAAAAACAATTCAGATGACTAAAATATGACAAACTAAATGCCATTTTAGTCAAAAGACTATGACTAACACTAAATCAAAATTTGCTGTCAAAATGAACACTGGTGCATTGTACCACCACAATACTGAGAGCAGTAGCACTGTGTTTATCTGATTCCTTTCATACTGTGTTAGCTCAAGTAGTTTATATGCTTGTCTGGGTTCAAAGCTTCTGCTCTCACTGATTTTACTTTGTCTTTTTTTGATTTTCTTTTGATCTGACCTTCAGATGATAAATAGGCAATTCTTTCTTTGTTTTAGCTATTTTAAAGGTGCATTACAGAACTTTGGCCTCTATATTGCCATTTGTGGTTGAAACATAAAATTACAAATTACTCACAGAGTTGTTTTACATTAGTTGTGCTTTTCTATGGTTGATTTGCCTATGATTAGATCTGTCATTCTGCATCAAGATCAGCTAGAAGAATGTCTACAGGGCATATGTGAAAAAATATGTAGCGTGAGCAAGTAGCCAGACCATTTTTTGTTTATGGATATGAAGTAAACCTGAAATGTAAAAACCGCCCAAATTGCTCAAAATATAAGTCATTTTTGTACGTTTACCATAGTGAATTGGGGTAAGGCAAGAACAGAGTTTTGAAAACTGATCTTTTTAAGTACTTAATCAATAATGGAATTGTATTCATTTTTACATCAAAGATCTTCCCTAGTGCTAATAATCAATCAATCAATCAATACTGTTCAAAAGTTTGGGTTTGGTAAGATTTCTTAAATGTTTTTGAAAGAAGCTTTTCTGCTCAACAAGACCACATTTATTTGATCCAAAGTACAGAAAAACAGTAATATTGTGAAATATTATTGTAACTGAATATTGTAAAACTCTTTTCTATGTGAATATATTGTGAAATATAATTTATTCCTGTGATGAAAAGCTGAACTTTCAGCAGCCTTTACTCCAGTCTTCAGTGTCATTCTAATCATTCTAATCTATCTAAATCATTCTAATATGCTGATTTGCTGTTCAAGACACATTTCTTATTATTATCAGTGTTGAAAACAGTTGTGCTGCTTCATATTTTTGTGTAAACAAAGATACATTGTTTTTCCAGAATTCTTTGATGAATATAAAGTTAAAAAAAAAGAAGCATTTATTTGAAATATAAATATTTTGTAGCATTGTCTTTAATGTCACTTATGATCAACGTAATGCATCCTTGCTGAAGTGTTCATTTAAAAAAAAAATTCTTACTGAGCCCAAACTTTTAAACAGTACTGTACCTTTTTATATTATTGTTCTATATTATTATGACTGAAGTCACTTATATTATATTTTGACTGTGTTTTGCAGTGACTTGTTTTTCATGTGTGCTAAAATGTGATACTGGTACTGTACTATCTATTAGTTTATATTTTTTGTGTCTCCAGTGGCAGGCCATCTCGTTGACAGTGATAGAGAAAGTACAGATAGCTGCAGCTGTTCTGGGTTCTATGTTCCTGATAGCCAGTATCTCCTGGCTGGTCTGGTCCTCCCTCAGCCCCTCGGCCAAGTGGCAACGGCAGGACCTGCTCTTCCAGATCTGTTACGGCATGTACGGCTTCATGGACCTGGTGTGCATCGGTAGGTTATTAGATGCTCAATAACTACAGCCACCTGGCTCAGCAAAACCAACGCTGTGTTTTTTTCATGTTTGTTTTTTACCGGCCTGAGAGTGTCAGACAATGTCTCCGATATCTGTTGGAAGGGGGGGGCTCCCTGGCAACCGACATCTGTTGGAACCAGCTGAAAGTGAATAAGATATGTTGAATTACAAGCCCACTTTCCTCTTAAAACACAGGAAAATGTACAAGCAGAACTGAGAGGATTGTATTTTTCAGGCAAGCCACAGGAAGCCATGAGTAATGCATTTTGCATTTCATTTAATATCAAGCATTTTCTGTGTATGTACTGAATAAAATGCCTAACATTGGAAAGACTGAACTACTGAGAACTTTAAATTGATTCCTGCATCCTGTGTTTCAAAGCCACTTCCAATTCAAATTGGCCAGTATACACTGGCTGTCACAATACGAATATGTACAAATCCATCAAATATATTAAATTTTAAAACCCTTTTAACGATATTCCTACAGCATTTATTAATCTTAGCTAATGTTAATTATATATATATATATATATATATAAGAAGTTGGAGAGTTCTTTTGTCATGTTTTGTTTGTTGTAATTGTCTGACTGGCTGAATTCTTTCTTCAGGTTTCATTGGCAGTTTAGTGCTTTACCTGGAATTAGTTTTTTTTTTTTTAACTAAAACAAAACTAAATTTAAGAGTTAGGGCTTAACAGAAGCATATACATATTAGCCTGTCTTGAAAGCTTTATGTAGAAAAATCAATTTCTCTATTGAGAAAATTGATTTTTTTTTTTTACTTCCAGTACCCCACTGTTGCTCTCATATGGTACTTTCATTACTTGCTCACTTTGTTTGGAATGAACCTTCAAGTGAATTAATTCACAAATGGCTCTTTCATAAGGCTATTGCAGTTTACAGACAATCATCCCTTTAAAGAAGTATTTAGTTTGTTTGCCATTTAAATGATTTTACCATGGATTTTAAGATTCTCAATTGTTCTCATGCGCCCAAAGACTATCAGCAGAATTCGAGTTGCAAAGAGCCAATATTTGATGCAAAAATGTATTTTCCACATCAATCTTAACAGTTAAAAGTAATGTTGCTGCTACATTAACATTCCCATTTAAAATGAAGGTTCAGCGATATATACAGATTTGTGTAGGGTGTTCTAAAAACGCACATATGATAGTAATGGCCTCTTACTTCAAGTGCCCTGCCCTTCAGAGGGAGTAGGTTGCACTTTTGATTGAAATTCACCGTTTGCAGTTCAATAATTTCTGAGAAAATATAATGCTTGTGATATCTAATGACTGTATGAATTGTGAACAGACCAAATATTTAGGACTTTCTGTGGTATGTAATACGTTGTCACACTGGTCCACAGTATTAAAGGGAAGGATATGCTGAGTTTGATCTCTAGAGGAAAGGCGAGACAATGAGAGAGAGTCTAATTAGGCCAGCTTAAGGAGTGATCTTTTTAATGCATCGCTATGAGAAAAAACACTGCTCCCTCAGGGTCTGGATACAATTGAGGCAGTAAATAACACATGCACACACATCGTATGTCTTTTTTTGTCTCTCAGAGGAAATGTGCTCCTAATTAAATGATAAAATTGTGTTTCAATTAAGCATAAGTTGAACAGCTTAGATTTGCATTGCTGTAACAAAACCACTTTCAGGGAAGATGGGGGGTTTTGAATGCCGCAGCAAAAACTAGAGCAGCACTTATTTAAAAAAAAACAGTTCACTGACGCTTTTCCTGAAATATTAGAGAACAACAAAGATAAAAACTGTGTGGGAGAAAAACAGAAATGTGAGGTTAACTGTGGGTTAGTTCACTCAGAAATTAACATTCTGTCATCATTTACTCACCCTCATGTCATTCCAAACCCATTAGACTTTTTCCTCTTTGGAACACAAATGAAGATCTTTTTAATATGCTATATTTTAATATTTTTGTCCATGCATTGAAAGTCTATGTAATCAACATTTTCAAGCTTCAAAAAGTACATAAAGACATGCAATCCATAAGAATCAAGCCGTTTAATTCATGTCTTCTGACTTTATGAACAGATTTAATTTAAGCTTTTATTCACATACAAACATTGTCAATGCAGCAAATTTCAGTGATTCTCTTGAACACAGTGCAGAATTAGCCTTCTCTCTGATAACTCAAAACCCCTATTTTCTGCAATTTTCAGGTTTCCGTATGTCAGTGACATGAAAGATACCAGTAACTAGGGAACTATTCACACAGCAGCAGAATACGGCAGTCAGTTACATTTTACAGTGCTATATATGTTTTCTTTTACACAGTTGAGTTATAAATGAGAGTAACAAATTTGCTGTATAGACAAACTGACTTTAAATTTTCTTTACTCACACCTAAATTTAATATTTTGGTTAAGCTGCACTGGGTTAATGCAATCACACTGGAAAACTAATTTTCACAACATACAGTGCTACTGTATAGCCAGTCTACAATGCACACACACTTGATGTGTGTATTTCATGTGTCTCTGTTGAGCTTGTTTATCAAATAATGTTGTGTTAACTGTAATGAGGATTTCCAGCGTTATGGAAGTCACTATTTTTGATATCTATTTCCATCACTGCTAGAGGCATTACAGTTATTGCAACAACAGAAAAGGGCCTCAACGTTAGCTGTTCATTCATATACATTCAGGACATTCACACACTCAAACTACTGGTGTGAACAGGATAATTTAATAGTCACACACTTACCTTCACACTTGGGTCGAATGTGTGGTCCAAACCAGAGACTGGCCAAAATGGATTCTGTTCACTCTGTATTTTTGGGTCAGAAACGCAGTACGTTTGCATGGAAAAAAATAATGTTACTTCACTCACTTTTGTACCTTAGTTTTTTTTAAACTTTGGGTTGTGTGTCAATACTAAATGGCACTTGAGTCTTTCTGGTGTGAATGCTAGTGCAAAGGTTCCAAACAACGCGAACAAAAATTAGATTATTAAATTAGCAGTCCAGCATGTCAGGAAATGGAGAGACCGCATGCACACAAAATTTGACCAAATTATATGTCATTCAGCTATTCACTTTCAGGAATTAAAACGATTACATTCATATCAGCATATCATACTTCAATGAGACAAGCCCTCAGAACAGATCTTCAGCAAAGACCTCAGTGACTAGACAACCCCCCCAGTGCAGATCCCTATGGCAAGCTATGATTGTGTCATTCCAGGACCAACTGGGGCCTTTGCACAGTTTTATCAAGAAGGACATTCACTTATAAGCCAGTTGTTTTCTACTGGCTAAATGGCAGCTCTACCTTCATGCTTTCCTACCTTCTGTGGCGGAGGGGAATATGCCACCGCCTTGTGGGGGAGATATAGCACTTAATCTAAGGAAGACTGAGTGAGAAACAGGATCCTAGTCCCCCCACCCAATGCTTTTAGTCTTTGTACAAGGGTCTCTTGTATGTGGTGCCTGTCGTGTTGCAATGTGGAAATGCTCAAGATGTGGCGAGGTGGGCTTCAGGATTTATTTAATACACGGCAGCCACCTGAAGTGCGTGTGTGCAGGAAACTCAGGAAATAAATGTAACTGACTGCAAAACCCGCCCTCCCCAGATCTAACAGAACAGGTAAGACTCCCCCACTCCCAAAAAGTTGTGTAAACAGGTTCAACTTAAATATATTGACATTTATTTAAGCTAATGGAATTGTGATTCCTTAGCTTTTTTTATAGGAGTGAATCAAATTTGAATGCAATCAACAGCGAAAGAAATAAAAATGTAGAAAACAATAAAGACAGTAAATTAACAAATCTGTAACCGTCTCAGTTGAGTCTTGTACAACACATGACAATCAGTGTCCCTTTTGTTTTAAACCATGCTGTCTCAACCGGTTGAACACTGTTTCACTGTTTCCAGTCTTTGACAATGGCTTTCGAAGTCTTTTGAAAAGACAATAATGTCATCAAGGTAGATGAACAGTATGTCAAACGTTAAATCGCCGAGCACCACCCCCATCAGACACTGAAATGTCGCAGGCGCATTGCAAAGTCCGAATGGCATCCTGGTCCAATTAAACAATCCAAAGGGAGTGGTGACCGCTGTCTTTGCTCTATCCTCCTCACTCATCGCCACTTGGAAATACCCGGAGGTAAGATCAAGGGTGGAGAACAGCTGTGCATTTCCCAAGGCATCCAGCGATTCCTCCACACGAGGGAGAGGATAAGCAAATTGCAGGTCACTTTATTCAAACTTCTGTAGTCGCAGCAAAAGCGTACGCTGCCATCCTTCTTAATCACAATCACCGCTGGAGATGCCCACGGACTACAGCTTTCTCTGAGAATACCTTGAGACACCAAATCTTGAACATGTTTTTTCACTTCCTGAAACACCTGAGGTGGAATTCTGCGATGTCTTTGCTTAATGGGAGGAGCATCTCCTGTTGGGACACTATGTGTGACAGCAGTCGTATAACCGAAGTCACAAACGTTCTTCGAAAACACTTCGAAAACACAAGTCCTGGAGTTTGCTACATTGTGTTGCTGTGAGGTTCTCTGGATTAATTTGCACTGGAACTGGCAGCTGCTCTGTGGTGCTTACCTCCACTTTCACCTGACGTTACTGCACAGCCTTAACATGCAAAGCATCCTCTTTCTCTTCAAACTCGACACGCACTTTTGGCACAACTTCCTGTGGCTTGGACAGCGCAGCGATCCTACATCGTGGTGGGAGCTTTACGGGCTTTTCAC